CGACGTCATAATTCTTCTTCCAACTCCCAGAGCAGAGTTAAAATGGTTTGAATTAGTTTTCCTGGTTAGCGTTTTTTTGGCAAGTTAGTTTTTGACGGAATGGGGTCGCCAACCCCATGTCCAACCCTCCTCTTTTACCCGGGCTTGATGGAGATGCTTTGGAGGACATTAACACCTTTACATATCTGGTCAGCATCATCGACGAGAAAGGTGGATCCGATGCAGATGTGAGGGCGCGGATTGGCAAAGCAAGGGCTGCATTTCTACAGTTGAAAAATATCTGGAAATCCAAACAACTTTCAACCAAAACCAAAATCAGGATTTTCAATACAAATGTCAAGACAGTTCTACTGTATGGAGCAGAAACTTGGCGAACTACTAAAGCCATCATCCAGAAGATACAAATGTTTATTAACAGTTGTCTACGCAAAATACTTCGTATTCGTTGGCCAGACACCATCAGCAACAACGTATTGTGGGAGAAAACAAACCAGATTCCAGTGGAGGAAGAAATCAGAAAAAGCGGTGGAAGTGGATAGGACACACATTGCGGAAAGCACCGAACTGCGTCACTAGTCAAGCCCTCACATGGAACCTTCAAGGTAAAAGGAAAAGAGGAAGGCCAAGGAACACACTACGCCGAGAAATAGAGAAAGATATGAGAGAAATGAACAAACATTGGGCAAACTTGGAGAGGGAAGCCCAGGACAGAGTTGGTTGGAGGAAACTGGTGGGCGGCCTATGCTCGATTGGGGGTAACAGGTGAAAGTAAGTAAGTTGAATCGGCGAATTTAGTGTATTTACACACTAAAATCATGCAGAGGTTAGGCGTTCGCGCGCAAGACCGAGGATCTCGGGTCTCAATCCTGCGAGGTACAGGAGTCGTGGATGCACACTGCCATTGATGAGTCCCATACCAGGACGAAACGGCCGTCTATCACTATGCTTCCAGATTTCTATTGGTGGTCTAACAACAATGACTGATTGATGATTTCAATTTGTACAACATATATTATATCTTGAAGTAAATGAATTTTCATTCTTCATATGACCTCCTTTGTTTTTAAAAAAAATAATGAATATCATTTGACTAGTTGTAATGTAGAACACTTTTTTTTTCTAAAAAGAACAACTCAGCTGATTCAATAATCAATTTTTATCGTTTACAAACAACCAAATCAACAAATGAAAATGCGTATCATATTATACTATGATGATATGAAATTTTCTTATCACATGACAAACACAACATGCAGTGAATGTGCACTTTTTGAGAAAAAAAATGTAAAACTTAATGAAAATCTAATTAGAATATGAATGTATGTATGTACATATTTTTTGTACAAAAAGAGCATAATTACTTTTATACTTTGTAGTTTTATTGTTAAAAAGAAAACTTGTGTTCTCTTTTATGTACTTTTAAAATGAAATAAACACAGAGTGTATGTGTGTGTGAGCAGTGAAAATTTGCAAGAATTTCTTCTTTCCAGAATTAAATTTAAGTGGTTAGGATTAGACTTGAAGCAATTGAGATCATTACTTTAATGGCCTAACGCGACTTCCATTGCACAATAAGACCTGGCCACAACAACAAGGTTAAGAAAAAACAGAGGAGGGAGGCAATCAGGAACGTGGGAAAGAAGCAAATATCAGACATCAAGAAGGCGGAACAACAGAGGAGAACGTGGAAACCTTTTTTCTCAGTGGGGGACCTAGTAAAGTGTACAGAACAAAAAAGTAGCATAGCAGGGGGATCAGGGTGGGGAGAGATGATCCCAAAGTGGGACGGAACGTACGTTATCACGGAGAGACGCGGCGCGGTGTACACGATCCGGAGAGATAACAAGCAGAAGCGTGTAAATGCCAGTCAACTGCAGAGATGGTTTCAAGATTATCAATTGTGTGAGTCACGGAAAGCATCAAAGAAGACAGCGGTACGGCGATCAGAAGGACTACGACAACAGCTTATTAAAAGGGGGACGAGTGTGGTGCTCGCTACTTATAAGTAGTATATGACGAGAGTAAAAACGTAATGTTTGGCAGCAGAAGATGGGGGAAGATCAAGAAAGGAAGAGCGAGAACACAATGGGATTTGTATGAAACGCATGAATAGTGAAATGTCAGACAATGGATTGATGATGAATTGAAGATTTGCAAATTAACGGTTACGATATGGTTTTCTTATTTTACTGAGTAACTCTGTAATTTTCGATAAATACAATTCGGTTGCCCTCACCTGTGATCTCCTTCACTACAAAATCATTACTTTAATGGCCTACGATCTGATTCTGATATTTACGAAGAATTGAATATTTCATTGAAATAAATCTCCACTTCAATTTACAAGATATATCATACTTAGACGAACAACGTTTGTGTGATTGCGGTAATGAAGAAGCCAATTATGGATTTTTGTTGGTTGAGTTTTTATTTCATACGATCATTCATGTCGACAGATAGATATATGAGACTATAAAGCGTATGAGCAGGCTGAAGTGAAATGGAGAAGGCGGACAAATCAATTCTCAATGCAATGAAGCGTGACTAGGTATTTATAGTCAGACAAAAAATTAAACTAAACATGTAGTAAGCGGAGTTAGTGCCACACACACACACTGAAATAAAACCGACTAAGGATATGGAACGAATAATGGACAAGGTCAGAAGTCGAGTGAAATAATGAATCGAGCAGAAAAGATTAATTAGTTTGTCCGAATGTTGGGACAAACCCTATGGACTTGACCTATTAGAATACACTATGAAGTTCGTAGATGTAATCTAATGACCATGTATTGTATCTTTGAATACGCAAACTAGTTGTTACACATTTGAAATCATGAATTGATCAATGTTAGGCCACCATTAGAAACCTGGAAGCACTGGACGGCCGTTTCGTCCTGGTATGGGACTCATCAGCAATGCATGTGCACATTAGTGACTAGCTCCGTGAGGAATCTTCTCCAAGTTCTAGTGGGAAGTCGTGATCAGTGAAGTTGAACCCTGTCGGGTGTAGGCAGCAACTACCAAAGACAGTGTATGATGTTGCGTAACTCCGCGAATTGATCGAAGTTAGACATTAACGCTGTGGGATGCCGGCCCAGTGGTCCAGAGATTAAGCGTTCACGCGCATGACCGAAGGTCCTGAGCTCAAATTCTACGAGTAGCAGGAGTTGTGGATACTCACCTCTGATCAGTCCTATACCAGGACGAAACTTACAGTCTACCAATACTCTTGAGAAATTCCATCTTTAGAAGTTAATAATCGATGTGGAGTATTTCAGGTGGAAATAAAATCATAACAGTTAACATAAAGTGTATGGAGTATTTGTTGCATATTTGTATATTCTATGCAAATTGGCTGTTAGAAAATGAAGATCGGTATCAGACAAGGTTGCTTACTCTCACCTTTTATATTCCTCCTAATACTTGATCGCATTTATGAAAATCTCAAAGGGAAATAATGGAATGCAGTGGATAGCTAGGATACAGCTGGACAATCTGGACTTCGCACATGATCCAGCTCTTCTATCCCCCCGCCCACACACGCGCAACAACCAATGCAAGAGAAGACAGTCAGTATAGCAGCAACCTGTGGAGCAGTGGGTCTCAACATACACAAGGGAAAGAGTAAGATCCTCCGTTATAACAAAACATACGCCAACTCATTCACATTTGACGAAGAAGCTTCGGAAGATGTAGAAACATTTTCATATCTGGATAGTATCATTGATAAACGAGGAATTGATGCAGATATAACTATACAGATTGTTAAACAAGGGAACTACTTCCAAAATTGAAGAACATTTGAAGTTTAAAACAACTGTCAAACAACATCAAAGTCACAATTTTAATGCAAACATAAAGATTTCCGAGAAGTTATTCCTGGGCTACGAGGATCAAAAACATCTAGAGCAGTCATACTTCAGCGCGCAGTTGAGTGTATCGAAGAGTTGGTCAAATTGAATCGTGATCATACTGTCTGTGTTGAGACACTAAAACAGCAAAACGACCTATTAGATTCACGAGTTCAAGAGCTCCAACGTTTGGTGCAAAGAATGGATGGCGAAGAAGCGTGCAACACTCCAACATCAAGTTCGTCCGTTACTAACACTATTTCCCCAAATAATGTTGCCCTTCGATTAATATCACCAACAGCTTCGACTGTCCCGATGTATCGTTGCACGTCTCAAGACCCACTTCAGTCATCTACATCCACAGACTGTCCCGGAACTGTTTCTGGAACAGAATATGTGTCGTCTAGTCATCCGCTTGTTCCTGAATCACAAAAGCCTGTTCTCTGCACTGTGACAAGTTATTCTCCCTCTGCACTTGGCTGTGCTAATACAATCATGCATTTCGTCACTAACACGAACACCATAAATTCAGTGGGGGCACTGGCAACCGACAGCAACACCACGAGCCTGGTTTCTAGTTCACATTCTGCATTTTCCCCATCTGTTTCCTCGTCTGATGGATCCAGTACCAAGCCTGCAAGATCTCTTTCTCAGCGGTCTAGTCCCGGCCGGTTGTCATCATCGTCTAATACTTCATCCAATCCAACATCACGACAATCCTTTAGGATAGATGATGATTAGCCAGCAGTTTCAAGGGAAATAAATTCAGCTGGGTCGTTAGAAAATATCCCGACATCTGTGGATTGTACTATACGTTCGAACATCAAACCACTTCCCACCTTTACCGCGTCCACCCATTGTCAGTTAGAGCAGACTCGAATATTTACTAAATTCCTAAGTAATACTAATCACTCATTATTTTATCAGTTAAAATTATTTATATAAAACTGAATCAACAATTTTCCCAGTATAAGATATTTAAATACATTTTTAAGGAAAAATCTTGACTTGTTCTACTAATTTTAATGGTGTCACCATGATTTATCAATGTTCAATGGTAATATTGAACACTGAAGGAATATTCTAGCAAATGTTGTAATCTTTTCCTCCTCTGTTTCTTCTTTTTTTGAAATTCTTTACATTTAGGCGCTTCATTACTAGTTGGTGGTCTATACACATATGATATATTTGCCGCTATCCCATGTTGTACAGCTCATTTAACTTGTGGTTCATGTCAATCACGTTTAGATAATCTGTCCATGGAATCCAATTTAAACTCCACGTCAACATCATCTCCGATGTCAGCTTCAACAACAGCATCAACAACAACCCCAACAGCAACATCCCAATTTACATCTAATTCACTACCTCATCATCAACACTATCAGGATTCTCCTACACCTCCTCCTCCGCCTGCTCATCTTCAATCAGTCAATACAAACAATGAAACACCTGATCCATCCAATAATCTCACTATTCATTCATATCCTTTAAATTATTTTAGTCAATATAGTAATTTAATCATTTGTCCATATTGTTCTAAAGTAGATTATCATTTTGTGAAATTATTTGAAGATTTTTATGAAGTCGTCTAAATTATTATTATTATTATTATTATTATTATTATTATTATTATTATTATTATTATTGACACATTCAATATGCAATTTGACCTTGCGAATTTTTTCGGTTAACTCAGGGGTTGACAGGTTTCAATGAGTTTGTTTTCCTTTTGAGATGAATCTTTTCTTGTTCATGTTCTATTTTTTATGTTAGTTTTTGTCTATTACTTTTGGTAGTATACTACTTTCAAAAAACAAAACTAGTAGTATATATAAATATAATTTAAATAAATGCAAACTTGCTTATATTGATTGAACACATTGAAACAGTTCAACATATAAGGTTATTTTATTTATGTATCTGTTTGTTATATATATATGTGTGTATTTTTATTCATTTGTGTGTGTGTGACACAAAGCGCCAAATTGTAAAAAGAATTTCCATTTTACGTAAAAATTGGTAATCAGTTTAAACAAAACTTACTTACATACAAATCACTGTACCAATTCAATTGTTCAATTTCTTTTGTTTTAAATTCATTCTAATAATGAATAGGTCTATATATATATAACATATATGTATATTTATTTTAAATGGTTTACAATTCAATGTACACTTTTTTCTTTTGTTTAAATTAGTTACAGCGAATATTTCTCCCCTCCTCGCTCTATTTTTGTCAAGGTTATTCATATGTGAAAGCCTTTCATAGTTATTTTTATTGCCTAATCTACCTCTTAACTAACAAACAGTAAACTGCTTGGTAATCAACTTTTTGTTTTCTTCAAGTTCTGTAATCTCATTGGTTATTAGCATTTTCAATTGAGCACAATTTTTGTTGAGATTCAAATCTCAGGGGATTTTTATGTTTTAAGCTTTTGTTTTAAACTATCCATATATATATATTTAATGTTATTTATAATTTAGTTAAAAAATAATTATAATTGTTGTGACAATTTGTTTATTTATTTTCAATTTAAAAAAAAATGAAAATGTTTGAATATTTTTCGTGTGAAGATTTGTTTGTTTGTTTAAATTAAATAATAATGGCGGTTTTTATGATTG